CTGCCACGAAATCTGCACTCTGAGGTTCACAACGAAATCTGCACTTCAAGGTTCACAATGTGCTGGACCTGCCACGAAATCTGCACTTCGAGGGTCACAAAGCGCTGAATACCTGCCACGAAATCTGCACTTCCTGCGCCTGCCACGAAATCTGCACCGCGAAATCTGCACTTCGAGGGTCACAAAGCACTGCACCTGCCACGAAATCTGCAAACGAGCCACATGTCCAAAAGATTCCAAAAGTCACGACTCACTGCGCCTGTCACGAAATCAGAGCGCCTCGAAGATCGCCGCCCAAAGCGCTGCACCGCTGCACCTCCCATGAAACCTGCATCGCTCCGATCCCGTGCGCCTGTCAAGAAAAGTCGACTTTAGAACACCAAAACACGAGGTTTCCCTTGCGCCTGCCACGAAAAGTGACCACCATGTCCGAAAATGCGCGCGGCGCCACAAACGAGAGCGCAGTCACAACAAGCACCTGCCGCGGACAAGCAGATTCTGCGAGCCTGCGCAGTCGAAACGCACTTCGAGGATTTCGAGAGTATGAATGCACTGCAAATAACAGCGAATTTGCCGGACACGTCGCTAGACACCGGTGCTTAACCATAAGAACCCCTATATAGTGTGTCCACACTGTTTGGGGAATAAAGACACATTTACAGCTAGCTGCTAGCTTTCACATCTGGTCTTTTTCAACTCTGATGAAAGCATAGTGTCAACACAAACCGCCGACTCACCCAGCCTTTGTGATGCCATGCTCTCCCAACACTTTCCAGTAAGTGCCCATATCGCCACCACTTCTGAGGTAAGCAATGATGGCTCTGCAAATGCCGATGTCCGCAGGTGTGGTGTTGTTGTGCAACTTCTGATTCCACTGTTCCTTTCAAGGCCATGCTTCTTCGTGCTCAAGCACTGGCAAAGCAAAGGCCACTAGCAAAGTAAGTGGCAACAGCATGGCTCCAGCATGGCTCAGCAACGCATCCACTTCAGCCAAGGGGCATAGTAGGTCCCATGGATCTCCTTTCCATTTAGCCGCTACAGCTACAGCATGCTACAGCTAACTCAGCACGCAGGAGGGCATCCAACATACGTTGTTCTTACGTACCAGCTTTTCGGATTTGTCGCCTTGCGCCAGGAAACATGATTGAAACCTGCTGCAGGCACCCGAGCACACAGAAAGCCTTGCGACGTGTATCATGACTGAAGTGCATTCAAGATCATTCAAGTGCAAAACGCCACGTAACTCCGTCATACTCCATCTCTCCTTGATGTCATGGGCGTGCATAATCACCAAGATCTCATCTCGGATCTGTTGCCCAGCAGACCCTCCGCGGCCCATGGTCGAGAGCGTCCAACGAATCCACAAGCGGCAGCTGGCTGTGGACTTCCACAGCTCGGCCTCGACAAGAGGAGGGCCACAAGGCGCATGTGTAAAAATTGCATCCTGGCAAGGAAAGGAAGAACAAAAGGAAGGAACCAAGAATCACTAAAAGGTCAAAAGAAAGGAAGAAAGAAAGGAAAGGTTTAAGAGCACAAAACAGCGTCTTTGATTTGCTGAGTCCTATGGGGTAAACAAAGGGCGTAGATCAGAAAGGAGCTAACACAGCACACCTGCGATCAGCCATGCTTCCTTTCCAGTACCCTATGGTAGGGCGAAAAACCCAAAGATCTCAAGACATCTCAAGACCATCCCAAGAGTAGCAAGTGCATCCCTAGTAGTAACCAGGGCATCGCTACTAATAGCAAGGACGCTAGCTACTAGTAGCTAAAGCGTTACTACAGGCCCCAACTACTTTTTCGTCAAGCCTGACTGGGGTTGATGTTCTTGGAGTGCTCGGGAACCAAAGATTTAAGAAAGACCAAGAGACACACCAGCAGCGGGTTGATCGAAAATAAGTGGAATATTGTGGAAATAATTGTGAAATCGGTCCAAAGCCAGGGTAAGGGATCAACAATTAACATATAATCAAAAAACTATTCAACGGGGATCAAAAAACAAAACGGACATCAAAACAATATTCTAGCCCACTGTTGAGCATAGTAGAAGTACTAGCAGTAGCAGCAGCAGCAGTAGTAGTACTGGTACTAGCAGGAGGTGTAGTAGTAGTAGTAGTAGTAGTAGTAGTCGTGGTGGTGGTGGTAGTGGGAAATATTAAAAAAGTGGGAGGGGTGCGGGGGAGGGCGCAGCCACGGCTAAGCAAAGGTAGGCCTTATCATCTACCTTTGTGGCACTGTCAATATCAACGCAAAGAAGATAGTAGTTGTGGTAACTGTGGTAGGACTGGTGTTGGAGGTACTGGTAATGGCAGGGGTAGTGGCAAACTATTAAGAAAGCGGAAGGGGGTGCGGGGGAGGGCTCCCCCGCAATACAAATCAAGTATAGACAGCGCTGGGCTGCTTGGTTTCTTGATTGGTTTGATTGGGCGTCACCTTTGTGGCGCTGGCACAAGCGAAGGTGGGCCTTATCACCCACCTTTGTGGCATCGCCAACGCAAAGAAGATAGTAGTTGTGGTATCTGTGGGTGAGACTCGTAGTGGGGTGTCGGGGTGATAGCGAACCAAACGTTAAAACACAGCACCACTCAGCACCACAGAAGAAATCACTAGAAACTATGTACCCTATCGTCCTTTCAGTGAAGGGCATCTAAAAGTGCACAAAAGGACCTAAGGCAGCCGAAGCCAAAAGCATTGTACGTTTGCAGGAAAACTGCGGCCAATAAGCTACAAGAGAAAGGACCAAAGACATCAAAAAGCATCAGTGAAAGAACAAGGAGAAAAACCATAGGAAACCCGCAGACCAAAGAACCAGGAGGGCAAAGGACCAGGAGACCACGGGACCGGACCAGGACCAAAGGACCAGGGGGCCAAAGGGCCTGTGGACCAGAGGACCAAGGGACTAAAGGACCAGAGGACCCGCAGACCACAGGGCCAGGAGAGCAGCAGAAGAGGCCTATCCAGGAATATGTTTTTCGATAATATGTTTTTTTGATTATCTTTTTTTGATGTTTTCTTGATCTAGATGCCCCAAAGCCACCCGGTCAAGTGGCTTCCAGCGCATTTCCGAGTCAAACGTTCTAATGCCCTTGTTACTAGTAGCTTCTTGTTCCTAGTAATATGCCAGGAGCTACTGGTAGCTTCTTGCTACTAGTTACTAGTAGTAATGCCCTTGTTACTCTTCACTCATGTTCGTCCGAGTCTCCAAACGTTGTGTAATTTGATTCGTCGTTCCAGCGAGCATTCGCGGCTGTGTACACGTGTTTCGCTCCCACGTCAGGAGTTGCTGAAAGGAAAAGCGCTGCCACACGAAGATCCAACTCCAGAATTCTTCATTGTTCCTTGCATCACAGGCATGTCCGTGAAATACAAATCTAAACAAAACTATGCTGTTGAGCTGTGTCGAAAACCTAGTCGCAGTGTAGCTAGGTCGTTCACGAAAGCTTTCCCCCCGCTTCCGCGATTCTTACTGTCGCGGGCCGCATTGCGTAAACATGTTCTGTCTTGATCTTTTTGCCACTTTCGCAACTTTGTCTTTCAACATTGGTAGGCAAACGGGGATTAATCCACACACACTGAACAAATGCTACTTTTGCAACTACAAACCCACACAATGTGAACATTTCCTGAACTTGCACGCACTCTGCAACATCTGGCAACTCTGATATGTCAAGGACAATGCTCCGCTGTTAACCCTATCTGCAAACATGGACAGAATATGAAAAAAGGTCTCTGATTTGCCCAGTGTCTCTTCTTCACCAGACATTCCAATGAGAGGCATGGACGGCATTCTGGACCACACAGCCTGGACGGTCTGAAGCAACAGTTCTGGACATGTCTGGGACATTCTGGGACGGCAACTTCCCAAAAAGGCTCAGCTAAGACTTCAACATGGAATTGGGATCAACATGATGCAATGATGAACTTGAAGACCCAAGAACTTGGCTGTTGATCTTCTGTGTTCCAACGAACATGATCTTTGGGCTGCTACGTTGGTTAAAAGATCTTCAGACCGTTGGTGACACTCATTTCGTTGAAGTTGGCCCCTTTCAAACAAATCACTTGTGATCCAACCTGAACAGCTTTCGGGTCATGACATGATTTGCAGGCCTTGCTTGAATCCACCTGGACAAGTGTTGTCCAGGAAGCCAGTCGACGCATGTGCAAGCCCTGTGAGCTCTTTTCCCATTGATCCAAGAAGTCCAAGCAGTTCTCATATCTCCTTTCCACAACGCCGTGACACTGCTCTCTTTGGCTTCTTTGTGTTCGTTGTGATCAAATAACATCAAATATATGCGTATTGTAACCGTTGCTGCATCGTCGCGTGGCAGTTGTTTGAGGTCAAGCCAGCACACAGTGGATATGCTATGAGTATCAATCTATGAGTCCATCCCCTGTTGCCGAACAACCTCGAATCTGTTCGTTGCTCCTCTTCAGCGACATTTGGCTCCAGGTGGTTTCCTGCTCCACAATCTTATCTGCCACCTCATGTTTTCGACTGTGGTTTGCACTCTCTTAGCACTGCATGATTGAATCTAAATGCACTGGCGACCTGGGTCCTGTGCCTGTGCCCAAGGTCCTTTCCAGCGACCCTTGCTGGAAAAACGAACAGTTGCATCACCGCCATCCTGGGCACCACGTCAACTCCAGCAGTAATAGCATGCCAAAGCCAATAGTCTTTAAAACATAACAGTAGAGAGCAAGGAAGGTCTAAAGTAAAAGGTCTAAAGAACATAGCATTGAAGAATACAAAGCGGTGTTCGCATGCGGACAATCCAATGCATGCGGGCAACAGTGGGCTTTATCCATGTATCACCATGCATGGTCTTCAGCACAAAGCCCAGACCTGGGTCGACACCGGGTCAATATCAACATTCGTTTTGTTCCACAGCTAAGGTGCCTCCAATGTCTGGCTGAACCAGCGTCTCAGATCCATCCATCTCGGTGTGCGCCGTCACCATCAAATCTATCCCATAGACGCCTTTTTCACTGTGTTTCTGCAACTTCATGCGGCAGGCCTCAGCTCCGTGAGCCCAAATCGTCCGAATGTCCTTCACAAAATGAGCCCAGAAGATGCCTTGTCATCCACCTTTGTCAGATCTGCAGGCCAGTCGACGCACTTGATATGAGTTGCCTCACAAGAATGCAAGCTCTGGACAAATTCCTTGTACAGCTTTTCACCCTTCACCCTCCACCTGCTCCAAAACTCTCAGAAAGCTATCGGGTCCTTAATGTTGCCTTGATGTTGCTTCAAAAAGGTTGAGTGTCCTCACCCGGCCTGTCTCAACCTGCTCAAGCCTGAAACTACCGAATCCGAGTCCAATTTCAGCTGCAGACAAGACACTGACGTCCACTGACGAGACTGGGGCCTCTCGAAAACACCAAAGTGCATCAAGCATTCACCCAGACGAGGATGGAGCCAACCCCGAATTTCCACCTGTCAAGAATGAAACCCAATGCTCAAAAAAAAGCAGCTCCCTCAAAAATTGCACATTCCCGTTCGATCGGTTTCGCCAAAATGCAAATGTGAACATAGGGCCTGCCTTTGCCTTGTCTCCATGGCTCATGCAAGATACATCCATGATGCCAAAGTCACCTGCATCTTCGACTTGCTCAGGATTTTCCAACCATGTGCAATTTTTCATCCGGTTGTGGCCCGATCAGGACAAAAGTGATGTGGAGAATTAAGTATTTTGCTTGACTCGGGCCTTGAAGAGGGAAAGATACAAATGAGATGTCCGCTCGAGCTTCTCTTTGGCGGCTGCCCTGAAACTGTGTAAGGCAGGCGCTGCGGTACAATCGCATAGCTCGACTGTAATGCTGCGCCTCGATGAATTGGTCCTTTCCAGCAAGCGCTTGTTTTGCTTCTTCTTCGCTACGAGCTTCAGCCTCCCTTTTCGCTCTGTCCCATTCCTCATGGATCGGAAAAAAGGACTTCGACATGCAGCGGGATGACATATTTATCTTTGTTTTGACCATCAACCATCATCCTATCATACCTTCTCTGGCGGTCCAGGTTTTCTTCATGTGTCTTTACCCTCACACGGCCTGGCCTGATGCCTTGGGAGCTCGAATTCGAAGTCATGAGGTCCATGTTTGATCCAACGGTTTGCAGCTCCATCATGTAGGACCTTTGGTCGCAGCTCTTTGGGGGGCACGGAACATTCAACAGATCAGAGTTGTATCGACTTGTCAGATCTGGGCAAGTGACAAACATGATGTAGGCGTCCACCTCCGCTGCAGGAATGTTGAAGGAGACCTGAAAAAAGGACTGCCGATGGTGACAGCTGTAGTCATTGGATCATGATTCCAAGTTGTGCTTGTGTGCCATACAAAACTGCACCTCGTATTTGTCCGTGCCCGCTCGCACCAAAGGCAGGCGCTTGGAAGACTTCCATGCCCGATCGGGTCCAGCCGGACCATACCTCACATAAGGAAATGATGTTGAAAACGAAATTAGCCCAGCTGGAGACCCCAATAGCAAGATACAAACCGGGACAAAAAGAAAAATCTGGAAACAGCTGTTGTTTTCAACACATCGACCATCTCTTCCTTGGACACCATCATCACATAACCGGGACACCATCACAAAATGACCAGGGCACCATCAAAACATGACCGAGACACCGTCACAACATGATTGGGACACCATCACAACATAACCGGGACACCATCACAAGGTGACCGGGACACCAGCATGACATGACGGGGACACCATCACAACATGACCCGGACACTATCACAACATGACCAGGGCACCATCAAAACATGACTGAGACACCGTCACATGATTGGGACACCATCACAACATAACCGGGACACCATCACAAGGTGACCGGGACACCAACATGACATGACGGGAAAACCATCACAAGATGACCAGGACACCATCACAACATGACCGGGACACCGTCACATGATCGGACACCATCAAAACATAACCGGCACACCGCCAAAACATGACCACCATACCATCGCAACAGGACCGGGACACCATCAAAACATGACCGGGACACCGTCACAACACGACCGGGACACCATCAAAACATGACC